TTGTTTAAGGGTATTTGGACAGTTTATTCTCTGTTGTATTCTCATGCAAACAATACATACAAGTACAGTACAGTATTTTCTGAGGAAACACTCGTACTTATTCTTTTTTAACCTCATTCCCAGTAACCTGGCATTTTCACAAACTTGGCCACCCTTTGGTCCACATTAGACTGAGTTTTTGAGACTCTACTGTATTTGTTTTTTCATTTTGTCTCCAATAAAGCAACCTTTCTGTGCTTTATCATCTATTATAAAACAGCATAAACCATCACATTCTTATTTTTCTAGTGCAAAAATATATCATTATTTTTTAAATTCTCATTAAAGTTTTCTTAGATTTATTTCTTTAATATACAGAGTTATAATAATTTTTTATCATTTTAAGATACAAATTATTTTTCATTTATAACTTAAAATTTAAATAGAGAAATTTTTTTCTTGACCTCTTTGTAGGTACTACTGATAGATCAGTTGATGAAAAAATAAAGAAATAAGTTATTGAATTAGCAGCATTATTTTAAATGAAGTAAAAGATCAGATAATATATATAAATGTACAGTAGAGCATCGATTATCCAAAACAATTCAGGCCTAGGGTTGTTCGGGTAATTGGTTTTTCGGATAAGTGATCATTTACAAAAAAATAAATTAAACACAAAACTGTACTGTATATAATTTTATCACATGTCTTACAAATACATACCTTACATAATGTAATACATTAAACTAGGCCTATAGTTCAGTTTGGCAGGAAGGGGAAGAATGCTGCAATACCACAGCCTTAGTGGAAATTTGAATTTGCTGACTGGAACGCTTTTGGTTAACCAATGTTTTGATTGATCGGTATTTGGATAATCGACACTCTACTTTATACACTATTCAAGCATACACGATACATTATTTTACTTCACATTGTTCAAAGGGTTTTCAATATTAATAAATTATTAATACTTATATTTTAAATAAGTTTTGAATAAGTTTTGAAATTTTTAATATAGTTATACGTTGTAATTTTGTGCATTTTATTTACTATTAACGTGACTTCAAGCATCTTTATGTATATTATACAATGAGCAATATTTGATAATTTCATGTTGTGCAATTGCTGTTTCAAACTACAATAAGACATCAATATTTACTGTATATATATACTAAATTCTGTTGCACTATGGTTTATCCAACTTTAGTTTATCTCAGCACAATAAAAAATCATATTTAAAATCTAATATATTCATTAAATTTCTAATTTTTTTCATAATAAGAACTTAAATATTAGCAATTTATATAGAGAAAAACTTTCTGAGTATTTCAATAATACCATAATAGGTAATTTGTGTAATATTTAATTTTTAATTTGTGCTCAAATTTTATTAGCAAATATTTTATTACTTGTGACCTAATGGGAAACTAATTGAAGTATTAATCAAAATATTTATGGCACATTGTTATAATAAATATATAAAAATAATTATATTATATAAGCATGACTTATAACTGGCTAAATAATATACTAATGTAGGCAGATAGGAAAATATTCTTTATGTAGGAGTAAAATATTTTTATATGTTTTGTTTATAATATATTAATAATCTTAATGCATTGCCCCATTTTTAATATGTTCACATATTTTTATATAATGTTATGAATTACTATGATATACTTTACTATACTTTAAAAATTTTTAAACAAGAATTTACTTTTACAAATTAAATATTAGAGATTTTTTTCTATCGTGATTACAGGTTTATAAGATAAATTCTAATATTGTATATCACAATTTTTGTATAGCAATTTGCTTTCACATTTTCCAAATTACTTTCTAATCAATTAATATAACTTCAGTTTTAAGTTGAATAGCTTATTATTGCGATCTAACTTAAATTTTTGAAACTATTTATTATTATTATTATTATTATTATTACAGGATACATATTTCTCTTTGCCAGAATTTAAAAATCCTGGAGGAAGAATAGTGATTATAAATGAAATTTTAACATATATAAAGGTAATTTAAGGTTATAAAATTAATTTTTTATCAAGTAAAAAGTACTTAAAAAACAAAAACAGGAAAATTTAGTTCTTGTTAATATACTTTAATACTATATCTAGAATTTTAAATTCTATTATAAAAGCTTTTCTTTATATTTGCAAAAGAATTTTTTTTATTAAAACTTTTTGATTCTTTATATATAAATAAATATTGGAATATATTCTTGTAAACACATTATTTCTTATATTTTTATTACTAAAGTACTATTTTTTAATTAAATATTAGCCTGGTTTCTGTAAGTAGTGTTTTCCTAGTAATTTATTTTTTGTACATAGATATATTTATTTCAAAATAGATTAAATATACTATACAGCCCTTGTACAATGTGAACTTGCATAACATGTAGTAAAATTATTTTGATCAAAAATTTGTAAATTTTTGAAGTTTACTTGGATGGATATGTAACTTGATTGCTTATTTATCATATAAAAGGATGACAGCAACATTTAATCATAGAAGAGCATCCCTCTATATCTTAATTTAGCACAAACTATAATGCATAAATACATGCAAAACAATTGGTAAAACTTGTTCTATTCTGTACAGTATTGAATTTCATAATATTTATTTTTAATTTCTATAAGTATGGATTCCAAATAACCAATAATTATTAAAACATTCTATCCCATAATATCAATTTCTTTATATATTGTTTAACAATCATAATTTTCTTATAATAAATATAAACCAGGCATTCTAGATTATAAGTAAAATTAACTTTTTTAATCTAAATACTGATATCTAATAGTTAAAATATAACAAACAAATACTATAAAAATAGTCACAATAAAATCAAATATTGCACATAAAACTACTAGAATGAACAGTCAAATAATTGTAATCAATATATAACTACTAGAAAAAGTCAAATAATTGTAATCAATATATAAAGAAATTGATATATATATATATCAATTTCTTTATATATTGTTTATATATATTACCATTAAAGTATTGAATGCTGTTAATACCATTACATGCTATAATTAGAATATCTAGGTATTTTATGAATTAACTAACCAATGTTAGTTAGAATATGAAATAGATGTAATAAAATAAATGCATGTCAAACTTGTCAAATTATTATATTTAATATAATATAATAAATACTGTAAAACTAATAATTTCTTTTTATTAGTACAAGAAGTGCTGGAGTGGCATTTGGACCTGTATTCTCTATGTTTTTTCTTGTCAGTCACTCTAGCTCTCTTCACTTCTCATATAAATTGTAATAACTTTTCAGGAGTTAGCAAAGAACTATTGTCTTTTACATTATTCTCACTTAGAAGGGATTCAAACCTTGCTTTCATCACCTTTTTTTTTTTATCCATTTCATGATAAAAAAAATTATACAAAAATAATTTAAAAAATGTAAATTAAAAAATTTTACATTGTTTGAGTACTGAGCAAAACTAGAAAGAAAGACTGTTAACAACTGATAATTTTACTAAACATCCAGAAAACCAATTCATAGATAGCACCTGACATCTATCTCTAGTACCAAATTACTTAGTATCTAATCATTAATAATAGTGGATTTATACCCTATTGTTTAAGGCAGTGGTTCTTAACCAGTGTTCCACAAACCTACATCAAGTGTTCCATGAAAGAAAAGATTTTAAAGTTTTTTTTTTTTTTTAAATTTATTCCCATTGCTATATTCATAGATAATTCCATGTCTCTATTTTATTCAATATATTAAAGTTTATTGCTTCACTGTTTCCTGAGAATGGCAAACATGGAATTGCTTATAAATTTTTGAATGTATTGATGCTAATGCTCCCTGTAATAAAAAGTATATGAATGGTGTTCCATGGCCTCAGAAAGGTTGAGAACCACTGGTTTAAGGCAATCATTTGGTTGAACTGATAACTTGAATAGACTACAACAACACTGGTTGGGATGGCTCCAACTCATTATCTTCATCATTGATATCATTCCCTGACCTTTATAAACAAAAACAATTTTTATTCCATACTTTAATGAAACAGTGATCATTATTTTATGTAATACCTAGTTAAAGTATAGAATATTATACATAATGGGCCTGTTTAGGTATTCTATAGAATAATGGATTATAGACTTTAATGGTAACATATATATAATCATTTTGTTGATATTGCTTAAGCACAATTTCAATAAATAGATTTCAAGTATTTTAGTAAATTTATTTTTTATTTTTTTAAAAGGATAATATACATATATTTTCAAATATGTTTCTGTTTTTCAAATATATTCATTCTAATTAAAGGTATTTTCTAGAGAAAATTAAAGTTATCAAAAATATTTTAAATATATTTATTGAGATTATGTTTAAATAACATCAACAAAATAATGTTATGAGATATTTTTATAAATATACAATATGTAAATTTATGTAAAATATGACTAACTGGGTTTAAAGATTGACATGGTTTATTTTGGAATTGACTGCTTTTTGGCCTTGAGTTCCAACTGTTAATAAAAATTTGAATTTAGGAGATAAAAGTTCATCTTTGTACAGATAGACAAGTGAATAAAATTGTAATTTTGTTACAGCAAACTTTGTGTGCTTCTAAAATTCTTGTTTACACACAAATTTGATGTGAGTATCTTCAGTTTATTTAAAAAAATTTTTTAATTAGAACTACAGAATGTCTCTTTATTTATGTATTCTTATTATCCCTACATATCCTACATAATTTTGTCCAAAATGATCTTTGTCAAAGAATGTAATTCCATATTGAACAAAGATTTCCTATATTTATAATATAAATATTATTTTTCTGCATTTTCATTATTATTAGAAAATTATTTAAATTAAATAGTGGATGGTTTTGTCATCATCATCATCGTCATCATCAAAATAATCTAATTAATATACTTCTATCTATTTTTAACTTTGGGAAACTAAACAGAAAAAAATTCCAATTTTTGATGATTACAAAAAAATGTGAATATAATAATAATAGATTACATGTAGATCTAAAATGACATTATAATTATTTAAATAAATTATATAATATTAAATATTAACCAAATTCTATGTAAAGTGACTAAAAAATTATATAAATGATGCTATTCTATACATAATTGAGCTTTTGACTACCATCTTGATTCAAATATTAATTTTTAGATGACTTCCAAATATTTGATAAATCAACAACATGAATCTATTTGAATTTTTGAAACATAAATTCCATGTTACAAATAATGAAAACATTCAGTAGAATTAATTTCTCATAAAATATTTATGTTTCTGTTTAAATCTTTAACCCTATGTACAATTAAAATTTGCAAAAATATATAGTCATGGAATAAAATTGACACATGCAATTGTAATGTATTTTCTGTACAGAATTTATAACATGAAAACTGCTAAAATAAACCTGGCTTCAGTCATAAAATTAAATTATACTATACCTCATTCAACTAAAGATGAGTTTCTTTATTTGATGAAGACTGTATTGAAGATGGTCTGTTATGGTCAAGCTATCCAATAGAAGGCTGAAATTCTGTTTTATTCATCCAATTAGTATTTAGAAAATGTTAGACAAAAATTTATTTTACTATTTTCTTTTTATTTGAAAGCTGTTTAATATTTTAAACTTTGTAAGAATGTTACTTTAATTAATATAAGACAGATTTTATATTGTAAGTTTAAAAAAATGAAAAATAATAAATCAAAATGGTAATGACTTCATTTTTAGTTTGGATTTCATTAATGAAATAAATATTAGAAAATAATACTGTTATGCATAGATAAGTCAAACAATTGTAGTCAACTAGAGCTATCATTTTAAATATATATAATTATTTTAGTCATCAAAATTCACTTTATGGCAATGTTAGTAGCATGACAGTTATTGCAATCAAGTATCTTAACCATCAACAAGACTGACTAACTAACTATTCATCAAAAATGGTTTTGAAAAGTTCATCTTTAGTTAGACTAGACTTTCTACAATATAAATAATATTTCACTATTCTAATTTACAGAAACCAGGCATTCTAGATTATAAGCAAAATTAACTTTTCTAATCTAAATACTGATATCTAATAGTTAAAATATAACAAACAAATACTATAAAAATAGTCACAATAAAATCAAATATTGCACATAAAACTACTAGAATAAACAGGTATATCAGTTACATATTTCACATGAAACTTATTTTGAAAATAAAATTCAAATATCAGATTATAAAATATCTGCACTTAGTTGAAATAACAGAACATTCTAAATATTGCATCACATATACAATATTTCTTATTTAATAAATTAGTACATATAAAAAAAAGTGTCAAAAGGAAAATTATTCATTCAATAAAACATGCTAATGATCATTGAAACAAAATTTATATAACAAATGTGAGTTATTTCATATTGAATAATTATTTTTAAATAATACTTTCTCATCAGAATGTCTATTAACATTCTGATTTTTTCATTCAACTATCATCATTAAACTAAATATTTGGCATAAGTTTATTAATGGTAGCAATATAAAATGTTCTATAGTGTAGTTTTGATTCTGTTTTTATAATTAAAGCAATTTTAAACCAATGAAATTTTAGCAAAACTCAATTACTATAAATTATTATTATTAAAACTCAGATATCAATGTTAGTGATATGTACAATGAAAATGTCATTAAATTCATTATAAAAAACTGAAAGAGCAACAAATGTTTTAGTATTAAATTTATCATACTATAATTTTCACTTAAAGTTTCAGTAAGGACAAATAATTTGAACATGACTAATATTTTGCTAACTGTTGAAAGTTTTTTAGATCCATTATGTTTCATACTTTAAAAACAATAAAATCTCAATCTCAGTTTGTTTAATCAAATTTAATTTTAGAATATATTGCTCACAATGTCTCCTATCACGCAGGTGGTTTGGACTGAAATTATTTGATATTCTAATTATTCATCAAACACTTATACTCATTCTGTTAAAACAGAGTTAAATTCAATGTTACATTTCTTCATACTACCAGTACCAAAAACTTAATAATGAAAAATTAGATAGACAATGCAATCTTAATTTATTTAATTTACTGATTTTGAATTTTCTGTAAAAGAACCATTGCTTATTTTGAGAAGATTTATTGTTGCAATTATCTCAAAAATAAATATATTCTTTACAGACAAGTCTGTATAATAGATATTGTAATTAGCTTTTTTCTTCTTTATTAATTAGTTTAATTGTTATAACAAAAACTACAGAATGAATTATAAAAACATATATATAACAAAGCTAACTTTATTGTAATTGTGGAATCTTTAAATATTTCTTTTATTATTAATTTGTCTTCAAATTATACTAACATTGTTTGGAAACAATAAACTTCTATCAAAATTTAAAATATAAATTTTGTCCCAACATTATTTAGCATATTTCAACAAAGCAACATCATTTTTTATTAACATTAAAAGTGATTATAAAAAGAAATATTTTAATAATAAAAGAATTTTTTAAAATAAAATTCTATAATGCCAAGTTTTTCTAGCTTTAATACCTTATTATGTTAAGTTGTGGAAAAAATTTCACATGTTATATGTATCTGATTCAACTGATATAAAAGTGCATTAATGAGATATTGTAAATAATATAATATCTATTTACATTTCATATATATTCCAATATTACTACTTTAAAAATAATTATGGTAATCTCAATTTGATCATAATTAAGGGTTATTTCTTAGGATACAGTAAACTTATGACATAAAAATCCTATAAAAGCAAGGATTATTTATTAAAGTTTAGTATCTTTTAATGGCAGTTATTATTCAGGCACTTACAGAAGGCATTTAATATGGAGAAGTTTTTACAAACATAATATTTTCAAACTTAATAAAACTTATAACCAATATATATTATAATTAATTTATATTATTTCTGAAATTGCATTATTAAGATAAATAAATAAAATTGCCCAAGTTAAAAAAAAAAAAAAAAAAAAAAAACAGAATATATGTAATCTTTTCTCTATTGTGGAATTCTGTCTCTCAAGTATTCTAATAAAGAAGGTGTTCCTTTGGCCAAAATAGCTGTACGAGGACTACGGAAAGAATTTCCTTCAAGTTGCAATGATCTGAAATTTCATTAATTATTTTAACTAATAAAGTTTAAAATATAGCATTTAGTAATGCAAATTTCTAATAAGCAAAAGAAAATTATTATATGTCATATTTTTTTACTGTAACTTCTAAATTATTAGTATATTAGTATTCTAAATTCTCTCATTCTCTCTCTAACAAATATATACTAAAAGAATTTAGTAAGAAAACTAATAACAATATCAGTTAAATTAGTTATTACTTATTTAAAAGAAACTATAAATTTTTAAAAAATTTCTAATTGAAAATACATACATAAAATTCTTTTAGTATAAAAAAATTTAATGTTGAACAAATTTATGTAAGGTATTCATATACACAAACTAAATATAGAAATGATTTATATTTACAGTATTTTTCAGAAGTTTAAAATGTTTCCATTTTTGAAAATATACAATTTATTTATAACTTTGGAAACTATTAATAAGTTTTAGATATTTAAGATTATTAATATTAAAATTACATTATACATGTTCATGTTTTAAATAGCAATTTAGTAAATTCTCATAATATATAAATATACATAACAACAATTTACTGAAAATTAAAATTGTCATATTCTTTGAAATTTCAGTACTAAATAAAAAATAAATAAAATATTTACTTTTAAAATAATTTGATTAAATAATTGTAAAATTTAAAATATACCACACATTTTCGTTCTAAAACAAACAAGATAATTTCAGATATTTCACAAACTCTAAAGCAGTGGTTCCCAACCTTTTCTAGTCAATGTCTCTTTGTAAAAATAAAAAATTTTACATAATCCTAAACATCTATAAATTGAACATAGTTAAAGAATGTTGTCATATGGTTTTCAAAACTTAGGTAATTTAATTTATTAAGTAAATTATAATAAGGAAAATTTATTTTGTAACTAAACACTAAAATAATAAATATTCACAATACTATAGCTTATTCATAGGAATTACCATTAAATACAACATTCTAATTAACTCAATATATTTCAGAAATAAATAAAATATTGAAATCTGAAACTAAAAAAAAATTAAAGTTAGCAGTTTTTAAAAATTTGGGTTCAGAAAATTTTTAATTGCCCAAGTATAAACTTTTTTAAACTGAAAAAAAAAACTGCTTATTAAAATGAAATTTGGCAGCCATTTACAGATTTTTTTTTGCATAACATAAAAGTGCTTGGTGTACAATATCTCTAGAAGTTTGCATATCCCAAGCTAAGAAACACAGCTTGAAAGTAAATAAAACAAAAGTGAAATTATATTATTTGAAGCTCATATGAAATTATTGTTGTTATTCCATTATTATGATTTTGAAATAAAAATTCTGTTTTTTATTTGTTGGATAATGATCTTCACGTATTTTTATTAATAACGACTGGAAATTTTTAGTTTATCAAATTTTAGGAAAGTGAGAAGAGAATTTATACAGGCCTGAAATCCATTTCTCTGAAAATGACACAAAAATAAGAAGGAAGTCGTGAGTAAAAATTGATTTTAAACTTGGTGTTTAAGTCTTGCTTAAAAATTCAATGAACAAAAAGATAATATTGTCTTTAAGATAAAGAGTTTAATTATTATCAGAGGAAAAAAAATAATTTATTATTTAATCAAATCTGATATTAGTGAGTCCTATTTATTTAAATGAAGAAATTAAAATTTTTAATTCATTTTTTAACTTCTGTGATGTTTTAAAACTTTCAATTTAACCAAACTATAAAGATTACAATTTTAATAAAACTAAAATAGAATAATTGACATTTTTAAAACTATTTATAAAATGCTTTATAAATGGTAAACAAGCAAGAAATAACTTCTTGATTAAAGTAATATTTATTACAATTTTTATGATGATTTAAATATTAAATTATTCTGTTTTAAAATTTGAAATGCTCTGTTTGATTATTACATATAACTTAATTTAAGCATTTCTAATTCTTTCTGATTTAAAAGTGCTATACGAGTGGTGCTCAAAAAGTATTGGATCTTTGGTCGGCAAAAATACATTTATTGATTTTGAGGTACAAAACCCTAATTCCCTTCAAAGCAGTCTCCTTGGTAGTTTATACACTTCTCCCAGTGCTCCTGCCATTGCTGGAAACACTGCTGGAATGCATCTTTTGGAATGGCCATCAGTCAGTCTGTCGCATTCCACATGATGTCTTCTCTTGACTAAAATTGGTTCCTTTTAGCGGCATTTTCAGCTTGAGAAATAGCCAAAAGTCACACGGAGCCATGTGGGGAGAGTACGGAGCGTGACGAACCACAGGAGTGTTGTGTTTGGCGACGAAAGCCCAAATCAGATGCGCAGAATGGGCAAATGCGTTATCACGACGGAGCTGCCAAGTTTTGATCGACCACAGATCCGGTCGTTTGAGTCGCACAGCATCGGAAAGACAACGATGGACCTCCTGGTAGTACTCCTTTGTGATGGTTTGGCCTTGTGGTGTGTACTCACGATACACCACCCCATGAGAGTCGAAAAAACTGTCAACACGACCTTGATATTGCTGCGGACTTGCCGTGCTTATTTTGGCCTCGAGGATCGTCCCCGAAAGCCTGCTGAATCTTGTGAATGGTTTCCGCTTGGGTATCACCAAGCTTTTGGCAAAATTTGATGCAATATCGCTGCTCACATTGTTCAGTCATTTTACAACTTAGAGGAATCCGATGAGCGCTCACTACACGTCCTCACTCATAGGCCAACTGCCAGCGACTGACACTTCCTGCAGGCGGGAAAAAATTTAGGACTGTGCATGACTGTCCCCTCCACAACTCCACTGAAAGATACCTGCTGTGCATCATTGGTTTATGTGGGGAAAATAAAAGTCCGATACTTTTTGAACACCCTTGTATACAGATCAAGTTTTATACTCTAGATAAAAATTTTTTATTTGCTAAACAAATTTATAAATAATAAATTTTAGAAAAAACAGAATTTCTTTTATACAAATGATTAATAATAAATAAATTGAAATTTCTATCGACAACTAAATTTGTTTTAGAAATTTATTTTGTTTCAAAAGTATCAAAAATTATTGGATTATTTTTTATTATATACTATATATACATTTGTGTGTGTATGTGTTTATGACTATTGTATAAAATGAAGTAATATATTTATTAATATAATAAAAAAAAAATGTAGACAAGTATAGCTAAATGGTAATATTTTGCTGTAAATTGTTTATTTTAGACTTATTCAAAACTGAAGTGTAAGAGTTAATATATTATTATTTTATTTTATTTTATTTGTTAAAACTGTTGATAATGTAGAGAGGTGTAAACATGTTTATTTCTGAAATATTCCTTAATTTTGATTAAAGACTCCCTATTTAAGATCTATATTATCTATATTATACTCATATTTAATATTAACAAAAGAAATACCTTAATTGTCTCAGATTCCCTAATTCAGGTGGTACATAAGATATATCATTATTTCGAAGATCTAAAACAGTTAACACTGGCAGCTGAGATAAACCATTAACATCCAATTTCTGAATCTGATTATCAGAAACAAAAAGTATTTCTAATTTTTTTAATCGAAAAAATACTTGAGGTATTTCTTTAAATCTATAAATAAAAACAAAAATTTTTCCAATTTTTTAAGTTATTAATTTTTATAACAAAATACATAATTCATAAATGATAACTTCATTTACATCAAAGTTTATTAATAATTTAAAATCATCTATCAAAATATAAAACAATACTTGCCGATTGTATGATAGATTAATTTCTCGCAACATTTCCAAGGAGACAAATTCTTCAGGCACACTTTCTATTTGATTATTCCTTACAAAAAATTTTGAAAAATTGTCAAATTCTTTTTAATGTTTTAATTTATTATATCAATAATTACTAAATCATTAGATACTAAAGTTACCTCAAATCTAAATATGTTAAATGAGGACATGATCCAAGAAAAGCTGGTAAATTTGTCAATTTATTGAACCCCAAATTTAATTCAATTAACTTCTCAGTTAAAAGTTCAAAACTATTTGGTTAAAAATAAAAAACAGAATGACTTTAATTTTAACACTGAAATTTAAAATAAATTTTATATTAAAATATTGTTTCTTTAATTTAAATTTGAAAAATAAAAGTGAAAGATGAAAAATAACTTACCAATCAGGAATACCTATTAAATGATTTTTACTGAAATCCACAATATTAACTTCTGCTTCTGCAGCAAGTTTTATGGCATCATCTGGTATTACTTTCATATCTTTATTACTGGAAAACACTTTTTATGTAATAATGAAAAAAATAAAAATTTATTTCTTTATGTATTAAAATATTAAGTAAAAGNAAGAACCCTCTCTTTTGCTGTACTATTGGCATACAACTAGGAGAAGCAAATCTGCATGCATGCACAGCAACCACTATGCATCTTGCCATTAGCACCCAGTCAAATAATTTTCAATATTTTCTTTATAATTAAAAAAGTAGTTTGTATTCATTTAGTAATAATTTAGGTAATTTAAAATCTACTTATATAAAAATTGTTATAAAAATTATTTATTTTTTTGTATCTTTCGAAAATCTATTCTATTGTAGTTATAATAAAATGTGAGATTATGAGGGCAAAGGGTCAGTACCCTAATTGCCACTTACACATCAAGTTGGTAAAACTCACCCACGTTGTCTTTTCAGATGGCTTTTTATCGAGAGGCGAGGGAGGTGAGCAAGTCGATAGGCATCCTTAGAACAATGATAGACAGGTTTAACAAAATAACAAAGCATTTATTGATTAACTAAATTGAGATTACAGGAGGCTATATAAGTGCTAAGGTTAAATGCAGTTATGCTATACTATTTACACAAAATGGGCAACTAATCTTGAAACTATGTTGCTGGCCTAATCTCAAGTTTGAGAGAGAGTGTTTTTACAAGTTCTAATAACCCCTAAATACCTCTAGGGCATAACAGAGTTGATATGGTGAACATCGTCTGCATGGAAGAGGTAGGAGTCCTTGGTATCTTCCAACCAGTGTCTTCTCCCTTTTGCTGGATCGGGTCCGCTGTATGGAGGTCTGAGAGTTGAGGTGGCACTATCACCAATTATAACTTCCTATGATGAATCACCCCGAGCTTCTGATAGCTCACATTTTTATACTATTATTGTGTATTGTATTGATGCTGACAAAGCATTTTTGACAACTAAGTGTCAACTTTCCCACGGACTTGTTACTACAACTGGTGACCTCTAATCTAATTTCTATCTCTTCGTTTTTTCTAATGAAGATGTTTACATTTTGGAAACAATTAACATTAATTTTTGATTTTAAGAGCCCCAAAAAAATCTGCAGGCTCACAAAAATAATGACCTTCCTACATTAATCATAGTCAGTTAATACTACAAATCCTGTCTTTTTTTATTCTTTATATTTGCAAATTCTTATAGAAATTAGATTCTTTAATTAAAACAGATGAGAGTTACTCTGCAAAGATTCAACATTAAGACCGAACAATTATGAGCAAATTATTTTATACTGATTTATATTTTTCTTTTTTAAAGATAATTACATTCAAACCGTCATAAGAAAATATATTATATTTATTGCTTGATTGAGATAAGTATAAGCATAAGCAACTATGCCCCATATTTTTATATGGATTATTAAATTTCATAACTATTTTATCAGCATAATGCAATACCAAAAATATTGAATATATTTACTAATAAAATATTGATTGTATATTGAATACATATAGCATTTATTTTAAATAAATATCAAATTTCTTCTTAAATCAGCCAAATTCTCATTATTAACAAGAAAATTTATCTTTTAATGTTAAATCATAATTTATATGACTATACTTTATTGGGAAATCATCAATGACACACACAGAACCAATAACCAATGTGAAGAAAACAAAAAACTAACAAGTATCTTAAGACAAACATTTTCCAACTCCTTCTGAGTTCTTCCTCAGGCACCATAACAGTTCCTGATGGATTGTAAAAGTAACAATTTATTACCTATGTCATTTTTTGTATGTTTCAAAATGACATTCCATCTGGTAATTGTTATGGTGCCTGAAGAAGAACTCAGAAGGAATTGGAAAACATTTGTCTTAAGATACTTGTTAGGTTTTATTTTCTTCATTAAGTATTTCCCAATGTAGTGTGTTGTAATTTCAGAAATCATCTTTCATGTTTTGAATAGCCTGTCCTTTCCTCTTCATTTCATAGTTTTCTATATAATATATTAATTAAAATTCTTTTTATTACTCATTTTTCATGTATCTTTTAAACAATTTAAGTATACTGTCTAATAGACTGCTTATGAGATTAAAATGTTAATATCATATGGCTTTATTTAAAAAAGGCACATTTCAGGAGAGTAGAAAATGCATTCAACTCCTGACTTGTCTCTTACATCAATATAAAGAGACAAAATTCATCTAATGCTCATATACACTCTTGACAAAAAGTTACCCACTCAGATAAAATTATCTGATTATTCCAAAACTTGGCATACAGCTATGTCTCAGACAAGTATGTAAATGATTATAGATGGATCCAATTGATGCCATCAAAGCACCTTATTAATTGCTACTTCAGTATCCTATAAAAAGTGTTACAGAGACTTACTATATTCAGAGCTTTCAGTGTCCCTGTTTGCAGGTCTTCAAATGTCAGGCCTCTACAATACAATCAAATGACGTTATACACAGGTGGTTGAACTTGAGAAAGACTACATCATAAGATTAAAGAAAGAATGGCTGTTTTGTTGAATGGCTGTCCACCATCTAGGCCATTCTGACCTGAGTGTAAGCAAGTGTTGGGTAATGAATATGCAATAGCACAATACATAGTGCGCAAGCTCTGTACCTCAGACAGATCAAGGTGAGATGATTGTCTGATTGTGAGACAAGCATTTACAGCTACAATGGCATCTTTGTCTACCATTCACAGACAAGAGGAAGCCTTGCTAAAGAACCCTCTCTTTTGCTGTACTATTGGCATACAACTAGGAGAAGCAAATCTGCATGCATGCACAGCAACCACTATGCATCTTGCCATTAGCACCCAGCATTGTCCATTTCATTTGCATTGATATTCTATTCTGACAGAGAAGCATAAACTGCTAAGAAATGGCAGCATATTGCCTTTAGTGACAAATCTTGGTTATGTTTGAGATCAAACCATCACCATGTAAGAGAATGGAAAATCATTGTTGAGTGTTTTAGTCCCACTTTTACAGTTAAGTGGCATACTGTCCCAATGTTGGTGTGCTGGTCTGGAGAACCATCTCATATTACAATCAATTTGAACAGTCAGTCAGTCCCTGGTAGTGGTGCAAAGGACATTGATAGCACATCAATAGATTTAAGAAATCCTGCACCCTCGGTTTGCCTTTTGTGGTAAGGCTGCAAACCAGCCATTTTTTAGCAAGATAATACCTGCAACAGATAGGACTTCCCAGAAATGTCTCTATCACATTGCCACACTTCCTTGATTTGCTCATCTCTAGATTTATCATCCATCAAGCATTTGTGGTATCAGAAAAGATGCCATCTTAAGCTATCTATGAGAGAGAGAGAGATTTGGAATGGCAGTTGCAACATCTGAGGGCAAATCTCTTGCAGTATAGCATACGATGCCTGTATGTCTCTATGCCAACCATATCAACACATGTATCCAGACAAGAGGAGGTCCTACTGTACAAGGTACTGATCATTCCTTAAGTTGTAACATTGTTTCAAAGGAAATTGTTTCTTCATTAGATTAAAATTAATTTATATAATATTATATTATAGCATTTATTTTAGTATGAATAAATTAATTAAAAAGTATTATTGCATTATAAACTTAATAATATTTTGTCTTTTATTTGAATCTATAATTTAAGAATTTCAATCAAATACTTTTTAAAATTCTTGTTGCGTTAATCTTATTATTAATAAAATTTTCAAAACATTAAACTTACGAATATATTAATGAATGAGATGATTTCAAGGTATATTTATCACAATGTTGTAGAATATCACATTCTCCATTATCAATTTCTCCACTGGAATGTCTGTTCCTTGCAGCAGACAATACTCTTGGATCTTCAATTCGACTTCTTAACCATTTTAATAACTGAACAGTACCTCTCTACACAAAATAAAAACATAATACATAACATTTTAAAGATTCAAGTTCATTTGTTATTGATAAAGCTTCATGGATAGTAAAAATATTTAATATGAATTTCAGTTTTTTAAAGAAAATACAAACTTGAATAATGTCTCGTCGAATAGATCTCATTGAATTTCCTTCAATACTTAAGGATTTTAAATGTGGTAAAGTACCCAATGTATAAGGCAATCTAAAAATAATAATTGGTTTTACATTTTTAAATCACAACAACAGATCTTAATAGTATTTAAATATAATAATTAAATAATTCATACCCAGAAAGATTGTTATTAGTAAGATCAAATCTTTCCAATGACTGAAGCCAAGTAATTTCATCTGGAATTTTTGATATTTTATTATTTCTTAAGTCCAAAGTTCTGACATTTAATAAAGTTTCCAATACATCAGAAGGTATTTCAGTGATTTTATTATGTCCAACATGAAGTTCCTTGAATTTATAATAAAAACAAATATAATGAAAATATTATTCAAATTTTATTGAGATGACTAAATATTTTTAAAAATGATAAAGTTTTTGATTTATACTTATATACTATAAAATAAACAATCCACAAACCATAGATAACATTTCAAAAGAAAAGAAAAAATTTTATTATTTCCCAACTTCAACTATAACATAAAATTTTCTCCTAATTACTTTTTTAAAGTTGTAACCTAATATATATCATCTACATCAGTGGTAGTCAACCTGGTCCCTACCACCCCTAGTGGGTGATTCAAGCTTTTGTGGTAGGCAGTAAGGATTTGTCCAATGCTGAAACTACTTTCCACACATCTATGACTCACTGACAGAGCAGGTTGTGCTGCACTCTAGTGCACATGACGAGGGCATGGTATAACAACAGCCATCACTTGAGTTGAATTTGTTTCATGGTGAGACCAGCATTGCCAGATTTGGCTACTTTGCGCCAAATTGGCCAACTTTTTTTCAGTTTGGCAGGAAAAAAACATTGGCACACTAGCTACTTATTATTAACATATGCAAAGTATTGGGATCTTGAATAAGTTCTCGCTGTTTTTTATGAAAATTAACACTTTATTTTACAAAAATCATAAAAAACATGTCACTGAAAGTATTGTCTATCACTAGTCACTACTTTCTCCCACCGTTCTGGCTGCATTTGAATTCCACGTTGGAAAAACAACACGTCTTTTGAGGCTATCCAAGAATCAACCCATTTTTGGCATCATCATAAGAATGGAAGTGCTGCTCAGCCAGGCCATATGCCATTGATCAGAACAAATGATAATAGGAAGGGGCAATGTCTGGTGAATATGGCGGATGGAGAAGGACTTCCCATTTAAGCATTTCCAAGTAAGTTTTCACCAGTTGTGCAGCATGTGGCTGAGCATTGTCATGTTGCAAAATCACTTTGTCATGTCTCTGCTCGTATAGCGGCCATTTTTCCTTCAATGCTTGGCTCAAACACATCAATTGTAGTCGATAATGATCTCCCGTGAGGGTTTTGTTTGGTTTGAGCAGCTCATAATAAACTACACCTAGTTGATCCCACCAAATGCAGAGCAGAAGCTTCAAACCATAAATATTCGGCTTTGCTGACGATGTTGATGTGTGGCTGGGCTCACCCCAAGATTTTCTATGCTTAGGGTTATCGCTATGTATCCATTTTTCATCACCTATCACGATACAATGCAGAAAACCTTTCCTTTTCTGCCATTGAAGCAGCTGTTCACACGTGAAAAGACGCCATTCAACATCTCTTGGCTTCAACTCGTTTGGCACCCAATGTCCTTGCTTTTGAATCATTCCTAATCCTTTCAAACATTTCATAACTATTGTGTGATCAACTCCTAATGATTCTGCAAGTTCAGCTAGTGTCTGACATAAGTCTTCATGAAGTAATGCCTCCAATCCCTCGTCTTCAAACTTTTTTGGTGTGCTAGATCGTTCTTTATCTTCAACATCAAAATCATTATTTTTGAAGCATCTAAACCAATCTCTGCATGTTGTTTCCAACAGAGCATGGTCGCTGTAAGTCTCAACAAGAATTCTGTGTGCTTCAGCTACATTTTTGCTTTTTCCAAACTTATTTTTTATTGCAAAAAGCAAAAAGGTTTACAAACTTTTTTAACCACATTGTTTGTAAGGCCATAAAAAATATATTTACTCAATATATCCCCCTCCATTCTTGATCTGAAGGATGCGCAGGTGTGCTTTAATATGTCGTAGTCCATACCAGCAAATGCCGCATCAATAGCAGCTCTCAATGATGAGATGTTTGGATGTCTGGACTTGTTTGTGACCCTTTCAACTACACTCCATACATAAAAGTCCAAAGGATTCAAATCTGGGCTGTTGGGAAGCCAGAATTCTTTTGATCAAAACATGTCGACATTGTCCAACAACCAATTTTGAACCAAATGACTTACTTTAATTGTGTAAGACTTGTAGCAGAGGTCCTCCTTGATGATTCTATGCATAGTTTTCTCACTCACACCAACAACCAATGACAATTTTTGGATTGACTTGTAAAGTACTATATTATTTTTCCACTTTTTCCAACAATTATCAACACGACCGTGTGCCGAAAATAGCCGTTACCTAACGGGTACTTTACGCAGATTCGCTTTAATGTGTCAGGCCTGGACTTTAAGCGTACACCGAATTAAATAATGACAAAGTTAGTCAAAAACAATCCAATATTTAATAAAATTTCTAATAACAACTGTATACAAAATTTAGTAAAAATCAAATAACAATTTATTCAACGTAAATCAATAAGAATCAACCCGACAAAACTCAAATCAATCTATTTTCTAACTTAACTCTATTCCCCTTTGGAATTCGACAAAAAATTCAAAGACTTAACTTATGTACAATAATTCTTATAAATTAAAGGTCCTAATCGTCACCTCAATATACTAGGAACCTTTTCCCTCAACTCTCAAGACTTTCTCTAATCTTCAATCCACAAATCGAATAACTTCAAAATTGCCTTGGAACTACTTTATCCTATTGGACACCTCTCTCGTTGCTAACAGAAGCTCGCCTCGGTCATCTTCACTTGAGGTTCGGTCTTTATACTGTGAGGTGACGTCACAATTCTGAGTGAGATCACTCCCCTCATTTACATACTTATTGCTAACAATAAAATTTTCCTGTTTGCCTGGCAGCCTATTTATATACACATGTTATATATATTGTGTGTGTATATATAAACATATATAGTCCACATAAACTTTAAATAATATCAAAATTAGAAAAACTTTAATTAAAAAATTGTATAATAATAAAACAATTTTAATCTCAAAATTTTCTAAAAAAAATGTTATAATAAGTTTAAAATTCAAAAGTAATTTATAAAGAATTCTGTAACATGAATTTTAAGTTCTAATTTATGAAGCAGTTGAAATTGAATAAAAGAATTTCAAAAATATTTTAAATACAAAGATTTAATTTTTTTATTGATAATTTGTTTATATTATATATAGAAATTTTTTGCTAAATATTAAATCTATGTGTATTTTAAATTAATAATAAAAAATACCTTTAAATTATTACAATTTGAAAATAAAGGAAGATATGCTAAATCATTGTGTTGAACATACAATTGTTCTAGATGTAATAAGTTTCCAATTGTTTCTGGTAAATCTGCTAAATTATTATTTGTCAATTCTAGGCGACGAATGGCTAAAAAAACAAAAAAAATTATTTTTATTATATATTTTTAAGATTATTTTCTCAAATTAAACATGAATTACTTTCATAAAATTAATACAGTTAAATTTATCTCTTCATACTAGTAACTTTAAAAGTAATTTTCAGGACTGCAGTTTCTGTTGCTCTACATAAACATTATTAATTTATCTTAAATTAAATATACAGAATTGCATTAAACAGTTTTACTATCAATATTACTAAAATAAAAACTAAGACTAATATAATAAAAATTTTTAACAGTCCTAATCATTCTGTTTGATTAAGAATCAACACAATTCATAGTTAGCAAATATTCACTAAAAATATCTTGATTGAAAGATTTTTTCCTATCATTTAAACCACTAAATAAATTATTTGAATATAAAAATAAAATAAAGCAGTTTGAAACAATGGTTCAAACACTGTAAGACTGGAATATATATCATAAAAACAGCACACCTCTGAACCTTAAAACATTCCAAGATATTTTAATGCAAACACAAACATTTTTGATCTGTACAGATTTCCACATTCCATTTGAAAACATTTTAACCTGAAGATCTCCTGTGCAGATCGAAAACATTTGTGTTTGCATTAAAATATCCTGGAATGTTTTAAGGTTCAGAGATGTGCTATTGAAACAATGGGTAAGTTTAAAGAAAACTGAATCTAATACTATATTTAAAAATTAAATAAATGAAAACATTACTATGTATTCTATAGAAAATTCAGTGATTAGAAGAAAAACATGAGCAATGTAATAAATTTCAAAATTAATCAAAACTAAAAACACTGGATAATAAAATATTTTTTTTTTCTATTATTCTCTTAACAGTACTTTAAATCTACATAAAACTTTAAACAACAGATACAATTTAAACTTCATGATTAAAATTTTTACTGTATTTTTCAACTGTAATATTAATAGACTTGCTTCCGAATAGTAAATTTTTTTATTAGTAAAAACAATACCATGTTGATTCAATTTAAAATAAAAGAAAAAAACAAAACCTTAAATTATGTTAGTTTTAAATATGATTTTAATTTTAAAAATTTAGCTCCTACCCCTGTACTTTCTTTTAACATTTTTAGATTTTTCAATTTATTATTTACATTACTAGTGAATGCATTTATATGTATATATGAAAACACATGTATATAAATTTTTTAAACTAGTAATTAATTTAATTAACTTAATATTGAAAATCTTTATAATAAATTAATTATTTTTGGAATCACTAAAACTATAAAAATGATTCAGTTTCATTATTATTAATTATTTAATTTTGTTTAGCAGTTTTGGAATATTTCAACTCCAAATCTTAGAAATTAAATCTCTATTCAGAGTAAAAATTTTATTAAGTATTTTAAAGTAATTTTGGATTATTTAGGTGCATGTTATCAATTAAGCAAACGCCACTGTATCTAGTCTATCATAATCATTTTAAATTACTTATTTAAAAAAATTTTGAAATAAATTTAAATGTAACTGCTGCATATTGCATTTCTTCTTTTGAATGGTTTCATAAGAATATTACACAAAATAAATCTACAATATGTAAAGAATAATCTAAGAATGTTCCAATAAAATGTATTAATAGTATTTTGCAAAAGCACTATAAGCTTTAATATTAAAAATGGTTTAAAATAAAAACTTTTACTAAATGACATCTTACCAGTCATATCACCTATTTCTAAAGGAAGTGATGTTAAACAATTATTGGAAAGATTGAAAACCATTACTCGAGAAAGAAATCCAATTGCTGGTGGAATAGTTTTTAATTTATTATAAGATATATCCTGTAAGAGTATGTATAAATATTAATATGTAATTATTTTTATTCATTTTAGTTCTTCAATAATTTTAAAACTTTAGCAATAAAATAAAATTACAAATAACATTATTTCTTTAGTTTTTGATTTAAATCAATTTATTAAATTACACACATTAGAGGGTATGTTGTCAGAAGTCTCTTTTTCATAAGAAATTATAATATTTGGAATATTTTAAACATTTAAATATTTTATTTCTAAATTGTTTAGTTATCAAAATATTTTATATTGTACTATGAAAATTTTCTAAACTAATTATTTAATTCCAATAATTAGTTTAGAATAAACCAATAAACTGAAATAAACCAATTAAAAGTTTCTTAAGTATAAATAATAAAATTAAATAGGTAATTTAGAAAATTTTCTTTCCAAATTTTGACTGTTTGAAAATTTTAAAATTTACATACGTTCTTATTTCAAATCAACAAAATCAATGATAAAATAAAGCTTAATTTCAAATACTTGTATGTTTCTTAAAGTAGCATCATAAAAGATCTGAAAAAATAATACTAAAAAAAAACACTATGTGGAAGAAAAATTATTATTCTGTAGAATTAATATTGAAACCAATATGAAGCAACTTTAACAAAAAAAAAAAAAAAAAATACACAACTGTACATTATCAATGATACTAAATGATTTTTATTCAAAAAATAAATAAAATAAAACTACTTTTGCTTATATACAAGTAAAGCCTATTCAATTGATAGCATTTGAAAGAACTCTTTATATTCAAGCATTTGCTCTCAGATAATTTAAATTATTTATGCCATAAATAAAATATATAATATCCTTTTTTATGACACTTTGAAGAATACATTTCTTTCAGTAAACAAATAACATAATTCCATACACTTGCAAATTTTTGTGTGGAAACACATTATTATTCCTAATATATAAAGATACAAACAAAATTCTTTGATTTCTAGATATAAGTAATAAGTTTGTGAGGTTGCCAATTTAGCTAAACTTCATGTCAGGATGACAGGCAACTCAAAAGGTCATATGTAAATGAAATTTGGGCAGTGAGTCAGAATTACAATTTACAAAAAAACCTGTGTTTTGGAGTAAAGAATTGCTTATAATAATCTTGCAGATTCTTCTCCTAGAACAGACTCAGTTTGTAAGATTATTTTTTATTTGATTCCAGAGAGAATCTGAATGTCACTGATCCAAGTTGGCAATAAATCCCTTGACAATAGACCATTAGTAAATCAATAGTCCTGGACTCACTTTGTCTGGTTGAATCTCAGACCAGATGGAAACTTGGGGTTGACTGAGATGTAAGTCCAACAGTCAGCCACTCAAAGCACAGAACAGAGAACTTAAAAAATTAGACATAACTAGAATGTAATTTTTGAAAGAATACTGATCTTCTAATGAAAACAGATCTCAAGATGAGAACTTTTTGTCAATGCAGTTTGAATCCTTGCAAAAAAAAATGTTGTGTCCATAAGACACAAGTTCTTAAAGGCTTTCACCAATCCTTCATTCTGATTGATCAATGCTATCCCTCATCACTGTCCAACTGGTCAATCCTTGTTTCCAGGTGACAATTCTAAATCTTTATGCCACAAGAAGTCAATGTCAACATTCAACCTAATGCCAATTAGATAGTATTTACCAAACTATGAAACCCTTTCTCATAACTCAAGCCTTGTGTTTAAATTTATAATTGTCTCATAAGATAATATTTAATTAAATAATTAAATATTGTGGAGACAATTATATTTAATTAATTAAATATAGTCTCCACAAGACATTATTGACTTTATCATCTAGTGGAGACATTTTGCTCAATTATTATTTGATTTTACATAGTTTTTTTCATTCAGGAGGTGAGAATTTAACTGCCTGGTCAGACACTCATTAACATTCTAACACAATTTCAAATTTCATCCAGGACCTCAAAGAAGTTTTTACTACCTTTTTTATAAAATGTTGTCACAGGAACAGGATATGACGTTTTAAGTCAGTATCAGGAATTACAAAATGAGTTTCTTCATAATTACTTTTGACAGACAAAATATTCCAGCAAATGACAATGTTTTTATTTTTTCTTTTCTCTTCTTGTGCATGTTTGGTCTCAGATTACTTAAGGTGTCGTGTATAGTCACATTGAGGTTAGAGTCATGTATAATACAGGAATACATGTATTTATATCATATTTATTTATACAATGAAATTGTGTAGATGTATTGATTAAATAAGTTAAGGATAATATTAGATAAACTATATTGTTAAATATCCATTTAACAATATAGAATATATGAATATTTAAGATACAAAATTTACAAAGAATATAAAGCATGTTAATTTCTCATATTTAGGATATAAATTTTATATATAAAAATTACACAATATATATTTTTAGAAAAAATACAATTTTTTTTCATTATTAATGTAAAGCTGGTGGATTCAAGAGAAATATAATTATACAATTTTTCTTAATAGTAATTAATTTATTTTTTTAAGATAAGTTGTGTTATTAGACTTATTTTTCTGTGCTTAATAATTACAAATGAAAAATTTTCTCTAAAGAAGAATTCTAATAGTATGTTGGCAGAGGGGGTATAGTTAGTTTCTGCCTTTTTTGTTTTCGAAGGGTAGTGTTAATTCCATTATTTCATATCAGCTCTACTTTAATCACAATACAAAGAATTTGATTAGTCATTAGATGTTTGACCATTTTTGATGGTAACGTCAGACAATCTGCTATCTGTGATGTTTTTAGTATCATCTATGATAGTAGAAATTGAATTCCAACTGATGGTTTTGTGAGATCCGAATAGACCCTGGGACTAATTAATAATTAAATTATAACAATAAATTTTGAGAGAAAATATTCTTTAATTTTTCATGTGAAAATATCGTTTTAAAAATATGAGAAATGGATAGAAAGTCACTTCCTTTAACGGAAGTTAAAACATCCTTCTGTTTTACCCTTATCTACCAAAAATCTCAACACCCTGGGAACTGTCGACTCCTCGATACATCCCCTTTCCTCTATTCACGTAAAAGAATCCAAAGTGTTGATTGGATGAAAAAGAGGAGATATAGAAAGAGTTTTGCCATATTCGGAGAGTACGCCAGAAGATCTCACAGAAGAGATACGTATTCCACATAAGTCTCCCTAAGGCCAACTCCTTTAGTTAGGAGTACGCCTTGAGATTCCATAGAAGGAAGACGTATTCCAGCTTTTCTCCAGAATGCCCTTAGTCGTATCCAGCCAATTTCAATAATGATATTAAGTTAGTAAGGAAAGAAGAAAAATATATAATTAAGTGCTTCTCATGACTTCTCCCTGAACTGAAGTGTAAAGAAACTAAAAGGTGAAGATAAAGAGAAATCATCTAGAGGTAGTATGATTATAAACATTGTGAGCTCTCTCTCTCAATCGCTTAATTATTGTTATCTCAATTTTTGTGTCAATTCGTTTATTTTTGTTTTATTAAATTCTTTTATTTTGTTGTTTAAGAAATGTCTCTAGAGTGTCTGAATCAAAACCTTGTTGTCATTTTCACATGCGTGTTGATCCGCGTATCTAAAATTGATTAACTGGTGTCAGGAATCCTGACGTGAGGAAGAGAATGATTACACAATCATCCAATTCCGTTTGAATTAACCTATTTAGTAAAAGCCCTCCACCCTCGATTTTCCTTGAATCTAGGAAAAGCCATTCTTTTTGACAATCAGAGGGCTATTCTCAAGGAATAGTTGCCAATTAAGTGGTACACAAGTAATAACTACTCCGTATCCCTGGCTAGCCCCTCACAGTTTTCTCTCTTCCTGTCATTTTTATGATCCTTCAGAAGTAGCTTACTCATTTTCTGCTCCCCATAAATCAGACAATGAGAGGCAAAATTGACCATTTTCTGACTTGCTTTTGATTACTTGCACTATGAAATCCCATTGGTAACAACCCGAACAGGTAGATCAGATTAGAGCTGTGTGAAGTCCAGACTGAAAAGAGACATTTTCATTGTGTGAGAATCAGTCTAATTTGAGTCAGATGTTTCTCAGTCAAATAAGGGAATATTTCTTGGTATATTCCTTCCCAAGGGCATATATATTCTAGTGTTGGACAAAAGCAGTTTCAATACTGTCATCATGTGCATTGTTTTGAGAACCATTGTCCTTGAACCCAGAGAGTGCTCAATTATTGTGACTACCTTTTTAATGGTGATGTTATCAGTCATTTCCAAAAACTTGGTCAATCACCTTTTATTTTTTTTAAAATGTTCCAGAATAAACTTCAGTGACTGAACCTTTCATTTTAGGCTACACAGTCACAAATTTTACAAATTTTTATGTTTAAATTGGATTATTTCTGTGTTTTAAGGAACTGTTTCATGGGCCTAAAAAGAAAGGTCCGGTCGCTGAAGTTTATTCTGGAATATTTTAAAGGAAATAAAAGGTGATCGACCAAGTTTTTGGAAACGACTATGTCTTTTTATTTATTAAAGAGATATTAGAGTTAAATTTGAAATTACAGTAAATAAAGTAGTTTGACTCACTTCTGAAGTCTCTTGTGATGTAACTGTTTGATGTTCCTTCATTTCTTTCTCTATCTAAATAAAAAAGAGTTGTATAAGATTGTTCTGAGACCTCATAATTTCACTTCATTTCATCTTAGTTTATAATTTGCCTCCAAGGCTAAAGCTGTGATTTTCCTTCAGTACTTTATATCACCTTCATGTTCTGTAATACAGTAATACACCAAACTTATGCGATAGGTAGGACCAAGTGATAACTGCATAAGTCAAATTCGCGTAAGTCGAGGTATAATTTCGCATATAAGTACATACAAATTATTTTTAATTGGGGCCTGAGACTAAAGAAAACAATAATTTAGAAAAAAAGTGTTTAATAAAATCTTAGATAATACATTACATAAGTATAACAAATTATATTATTATACAATTTTTCACATTTACTTGATTATCACACCATAATTTTAACATTGTTTCCATCTCAGCGATAATACCGTGAAGTTTACAAATGATGCTTGAATTTAAAGATTGAGCATTTTTTACAGCTTCAAAAATTTTTTCTTTACCTTTTATAATTGTTCTGACTGTCGATTCCAGTAGATCAAACTTCTTTGCTAATTCACAAATTTTCATTTTTGTATCGAAGTCTTTAATAATGTTAACTTTACATTCCAAAGGTAAAGTTTTTCTTTTCTCGTTTGATGCAGAAGAATAAGTTCTACTTCGTTTGGATGACATAGTAGAGTCTCTCAAGTCTCCATAGATATAACAAACACAGAAATAAATAACACAAAATAAATTGTAGCTATATGTCGATTCGGCGCAACACGTCCGAACATGTAAGCTGAACAATAGTGTAGGGGGAGTGAGTAATCAAGAGTTGCGTGGCGCTCAAACAAAAGACAAATCCACGAGATTTGAAAATCATGTAACTCCGGATTCGCAAAAGTTGGGATAGCATAAGTTGAGGTATTACTGTACATTTATCCTTTCCATTGCACTGATGTATCATTTCCTAGTTTTTCTAATGGTGTAGTGTTTAATAACTCTTGTCTTCTCTCTATTTTCATTACAGCATAATCTGTGCAATGTGAGCAATGACATCACTAGAAATTTAAAAGAAAGTTTCTTGCATAATTTCAATAACTTGTATGTTATACTATTTGCAAAGCACACAGAGATGAAGAGAAACACAATTTTCTATCTGGTGTTAATGTAGTTGATGGAAACAACTTGGGTTTAATTTTATTGTTTAAATAGTGATATTTAAATTTTGATGCTGAATAACTATTGTAACTCATAGAATTCTTAATAATTTTTAACTCTAGCCTTAATATAGTTATAGACAAAGAATACCTAGATACTCTTCTTTACAAAACAAATTCCGCATTAATAAATTTGCTAAATTGATAGGATCTTTTAACTGAGAATACTGCAGGTAAATTGTTTTTTTAATAATAGATACTAACTTCAAAGGTATTATTTTGAAAATATATTAGCAAATTAAGAAATACTATTAATGTACCAGCCTGTGTCTTTATTTATTTCTTGAACAAAAATCATTTAGTATTGTTTTCTTTTTGTTAAACTAAATTTCCAAGAATTAAAGAAGAAAGTCAATTCAGTATTTGTAAGGAAACTATTTTTTCAATATTAATTTGAAATACAGTAGAACCTCGCTTAACAAGCACCTTGCACAACGAGCATTTTGCATAACAAGTCAAAACAAATTGTAAAAAAATTACTTGCTTAATGAGCAATGTTTCACATAATGAGAGGGGAAGTCCCAGATTGTGCACATGTTCCATCAGTCTGTGTTTAGCACTCATTCCGTTAGCATCTTAGTGTCACTCGTGATCAAATATTTTTCCAAATTTCTGTTCACACATATTACATATAAACATTGACAATCATAGCCCATTATATAATAAACACATCAAATAATATGTCAAATTCTTGGACTATGTAAAGGCTACAATTAAATATTAGAAATTGATTAATTTGACTAGAGGTAGGCAGTTATGCTGCCATCTTGTATTGAATTTAATGACCAATTCCAAATTAAATTTTAAAAATGTCTAAATTATAAATTACAGTAGAGTATCGATTATCCAAATCAATTGAGGACTGGGGTTTTTCGGAAAATCGATTTTTAGGATAACCGATTATGTACAAAAAAATATATATTTTTAAATTAATATAGTATATTAATTTAATAATAATAATATATTAATATATCCCATGTTTTTCCCCGTTGTGTGTCGCTTTGTGTTGAATTTTCGTCAGTGTTAAGCCTAACAAAAATTTTTATAATAATAATCGTGGCTATTGTATTGTTAAAAATTATTTCTTTATTTTGTGCAAACAAAATAAATATATTAAAAAATATAAAAACAAAAGATTATATTTTAGAAGTTAATCTAGTAAAAACGTTCAATTCAACACAACACAGCCAACTGGAACACTTTCAGTTAACCGATGTTTCGGTTGATCAGCATTCAGATAATCGATGCTGTACTGTAATTATTTATAATTATTAAATTTAATACGAGATGGAAGCATAACTGCCTACCTCTAGTCAAATTAATTAATTTCTAATTTTTAATTATAGCCTTTACATAGCCCAAGAATTTGACATATCGTTTGGCGTGTTTATCAGACATAATATTTGTGATTTTTTTCTTTTTGCAAATCAAATTCGCATTCCAGGTTGGTTCATTACGCACCAAAAGAAATACAATATGTGTAAAATTATACAATATACTTTGTTAAGGAGCATGAATATGCTCCTAAACAATGTATATTGTATAATTTTCTTTGAATAAATGTTATACATAAAACATTTGAGTATTTTTTTTGGCATGGAATGCATTATCGTATTTTACATTAATTTATATGGGAAAAATTGTTTCACTTAACGAGTGTTTCACATTATGAGTAAGATTCTGGAACAAATTATGCTCATTAAGCTAGGTTCCACTGTAAAAAATAAAATGGAATTGTTATTTAACATTGAACTTATTTCTTTACAATGCATAATAACTTATTAAATAATACATTATTATTTTAGATTCAAAAACTTTACTAACATTAAAAATGAAAATAATTAAAAGTAAATATTTATAATAAAATTATAACTTACCAATTCTTCTAATAAACTAAGGTTACTAATGTCATCGGATAATTCTGGTAATTGATTGTGTTGCAAAGAAAGAAACTGTAATTCTTTTAATTCAAATACTGAATAAGGTAAGAATTCTAAACGATTATGGCTAAAAATGAAAAAATATACTAAATTTTATATTGTACAATTTTAGCTTAAATTTTATATTATTGCTATTTTTAAAATACAGTATTCTTATGTTCATTTATTTCTTGAAAAACATTACATGAAAATCAATAAATATCTATAAATAATTTCAATAAAGTCTTTTAAAAATTTTTTTAAATAAAAATTTAAAATTATAGAGATTTAATAGAAAAATTAAATAATTTAAAAATTAAATAATAAAGTTTTAAATTGAATAACTTTATTTATTTTGTAATAAATAATATTTTATTGTTGTTATAAAAATTTCTATTTAAAGAAAATAGGTGGTGATAAAACTCGAGCAGCAGCATATAAAATAATACATGATATGAACTGTTATAAAACAAAATCTTTTATATAGAAATTCCTTTTGTAATTATTTTCACTTTAAAATATTTCAAAATATTTTATTTCAAAATGTTTGTTTTAATATTAAATGGAAATTATGTTTTTCATTTAATACAAAAATAAGCTTAAAATATAATTTAAAAATATAATTAATTATCTCAATTAGTATTAGATGTTAACATTTGCCATCAAAATACTTTTATAAATTTACTAATTGCACTGGTGTGCAAAACTTAAGCAACATTGTAATTTTTAAGCAGGCAGCCATGAAATTGTAGAAAAGGGCTTGTTTGATCAGTACAATAAATACCCAACTCAGTAGAAAGGTGATTTGTATTCAGGTAGAAGACATCACAGGTGACGTGAGGGCACATAGAACGTGTGCAGTAAGCATGCGCAGTGCATGTGCAGTAAGCATGTGTGTGCAGTAAGCATGTGCAGTAAGCATGTGCAGTGATTACAATAAGAAGGAGGCTTTGATTCTCAACTGTAAGCATTCTATTCATTTTTGCACTAGTATGCTTTCTTCAACCTTTAAGTACTAAATACTGTCTATGTATTCTGAATTTTGTGTCTTCCAGGTGATTTCTTCTGGAGTTACAGCAAAAAACAATTGTTGCTTAAATTTTGCACACCAGTGTAATTTTTTCAATAATTGATAAATTCATTTATTTACTTTTAAAAAAATCATGTAAAAATTTATATGGTGTTTACAACAAATTCTCTTTAATTATTATAGAATTAGAGACATAAAGTTAGCATTCAAAAGCATTAGCATTGTAGAATTATTGCATTGTACAAAAATTTATTGTAGTAAAAAAAACTAAATTATTTTTCCTCATATATATTTCTTCACATACTACTTGGAGAATTGTACATATCATTATCATACTCTATTAAATATGAAAAACTTTTAAATATATTTATACTAAAATATGGTAATTTTTATATAGGGTGTAAAAATATTAAAAAGTAAATGTGAATTAAAAAATAATTGATAATTTCATAGTCACAACATTGGAAGAAATTTCAGTATATACCTATTCCTCTTTTTACATGGTATATTTTTATGTGATTTTGAAATAATGCAGTTGACAAACGAAAACTAATTCTCTTTTTATGCAATTGATTTTTCATACACAGACATGAAATTTATTTGATAATTTTAACTTTTTGTTAAAATTGTGTTATTGTTAAAAAAGTTACACTTTTTGTTGAAATCAAGAGTTCATTTATCTTTTGTATGCACAGTACAGTACTACATATATTGTACATCAGAAATGTGGAAGAAAGTAAAAATGTAATCTCTATGTGCTAAGACATATTTTGTATTAGATAGTGCTATGTACAGTACTGTTGGTGTGCTTTACACTTTTTTGGTCATAGGTCATGATCTTGTTTGGACTGCTACATCTGTGTGTGGCATGTTGTCTCCTCTCATTCAGCTTTTCTTCATGTTACATCTAACTGTATATTTCTGTGCATTGTTAGATTCATTTATTTGCTTCATTTCTGACAAGAGAATATTTACTGTATGTTCTTTTATGTATGTTCATCTATTTCTCTTTTTGCATGATATCCATCATGCAAAAAGAGAAATAGATGTAATATTAATGACATTTTTTGTATTTATTTATTAATTATAAACCAGTATTTGTTTAGTTATTATGGTTTATATAATATCTGTATCCTATTGATGAATAACAAAATAATTAAATAATTATGTTATATTCATGTCATACATGCTAAAATTATTTTATAGAATTTTCACTACACTAGTGAGGTAATGGATAGAATATGAAAATTTTAAAAATTGACAAAACTTCTTATAGATTCTAAAGCAATATGCTTTAAAGCGATAAGAAGTTTTGTTATAAAGCTTGAATTCACAATATTTTCTTATAACAATACAAATAAAATCAAAAATTATATTATTATTTTAACCAATACACAAAAAATTTTTTAATTACATACCTGAGGTTAAGTTTAACAAGATGAATTAAATCTCCTAATGTGTCTGGCAAACTTACAAGTTGATTGTCATGAAGCTAAATATATAAATTCAGATTATATTTTGAAATTAAAGTTTACATAAATTATTATTTTTACATTATATTTTATTAAATCATAAAAAACAAACTGAAAATTTAGCACTTCCCAATCAAATTACAAATATAATTCTACATAGTTTCAATAAGTTCAATAGTTTAATTTACTACATTTGAAAAAATTTCTAAAATATAAAATTAATAGGTCTAATAATTAGTATCTTAAAACAAAAAGTGATTAAAATTCAATTTTTGTATTTTTAACCCATTAATTATCATACAACATAATGCAAATTTGCATACTATGTTTGAAGTTTTAATACTAACTATGAATAAAAAATAGAATTTTAAACTGATAAACAAAAATTATTAAGAAGATTTATATCAATACATGAGATAAATATTTGTATTCTTGTTAATCCACTAATATCATTAATAAAGAAATACAGTGAAACATGGTTAACTTGAATTGGTCAGGAAAAAAATTTGAACTTTTAGTTAAAAAGTTTTGAGTTACGAAGGTTCAGCTAAAAATCAAGATTTTGTGCACTGGTTTATTGGTGACCAATATAAAATAATCCAGATAATATTTCTGTTGGTCTTATTACACAGAATTGTTGTGTCAATGTAAACCCTTTGGTGTTGTCTAGAAACTCAAAAGTACTTAACTGAATGGTTGGTTGATCAATCCATTCCTAAGGGTTTAGTATAAGGATTTTTTAAAATTGCAATATTTTGCAACTAGAATTGATCTTTATTTTTTTATCTTTTTATCACAAACATACTACTCTTTATGACTGTTATATTTTTAAAGTTTTGCTGCAAAGGATAAATTTTCATATACAGTAAGACTAAAATTAATTTAAAAAAAAAAATTAATCAAAAATTCAATTATTTTCTTAAGAATATTTTAAATGTTGGTGTATAAATTAAATTTTGAATTATTTTATAATTATCAATGAATAGGAAATTGTTTACAATAAAAAATCATTGTAATTATATTTTTATCATCATACATATTACAAAACATCAAAACCTTTATCTTAATAATAATTTATACATAATAATTTATATAAAATAATATTTATGAAAACAGTAATATTAACTTACATCAAGAACTTTAAGTGCAGTTAAATTTTTTATATCAGGAGATAGGGAAATCAAGCTATTTGATGACAAATTTAACTTTGTTAGATCTACTTGATCCCACCATCTGTCACCATCAGTCTCATCCATAGATAGGGATAATGATTTATTTTCTTCTAAGGTCAATGTATTAATATTCCAAACAACATCAGGCACTATATAATATTTTAGTAATTTTAATAATAATCAAATATATTACTTTAATAAAGTATTTACTTTTATTAGAATAATATCACACATTTTAAATATAGTACAGGTAACCCCCGTATAACACGGCACTTCTATAGCACGGATTCACTCTAACACGGTTCGAGAATTGGTACCATCCCTCGTATAACACGGTACTTTTATAGCACAGATTTACTCTGACACAGTTCGAGAATTGGGTAAAACCCTCGTACAACAGGAAATGTAATAAATTTTTACATACTTAAGTAATAATAGTTCACGAAAATTATTATTTTCGTGAACTATTAGTACTTAAGTATGTAAATTTTCTCTTCTCGCCTTCTGTCGATACACGTGGTCCTTCTCGAAACTTGTTTCAATGTTGCCAGATCGCGACGCTTCTGCTTCTGATGTTGCCGAATGTTTTTCCCTTATTCCATACTTGCTTTATTCTTCATAAGTGCTTAGCACCATATAAGGAAATTTATAAAGACCTTTTAACTAGAAGCAAGCAATCTAAAATTACATACATTTTGCAAAAGGTAAAGCATGGATCTGAAGATAATGCAGAAAAATGCTCAGAGGATAAGGATAACTTGCCAAAAAAAAAATGCTCTCAGTTAATTAATAGTGTTTTTAGTGACGAAGAAAACAATGTATAATTTATATTAATATGTATCACTTAAAAAAATTTTAATAAAGATATTTATCTTAATTATGAAAATATACTAGCATGTTTTTTAATTTTTGGAACCTAACCCTCCTTTTCGTATTAGTTCTTTGTTTCGTACAACACAGATTCGCATAACACTGCAATTTTTTGGAACGTAACTACCGTGTTATACGGGGGTTACCTGTATTTAAATATTAAATTCATTTTAAAAAGTAGAGTGAATAAAGAAACAAAATTTAACAAAAATATTTCTTATTAAGTAAAATTTTTCATAATACACAATGAAAATTAATTGTTTGAAAACTTAATTATAAGTTTAATTGGTTTCTGTATTTGTTCTATCAATGTTGATTTAGTAGTTGTATTGATTTAACATAATTTAGTAACTGACTGATTTTATGTGACTAATACTTAATTTGTTTTATAAAAAATCAACTTTATAAAATCAATAAGAATAAAAATAAGATATACAACAGTAAATTTTTACATTCTATTTAGACTTTTTCATTAAATCTTTTCTTTTAGTATTATGTATTATATAGCTGTCTTTATTAAAATTAAAAGAAACTTATTGTAAGATTTAATATTAATTAAATGTAATGTATTTAATTAATTTGTTGTTGTTGTCAAAACCGTGTTGTATTTATGTATTGTATACTGGCACAATGAAGTGACTTTTCTTCAACACTAGGCAAGTTTCAATCTTTATTCAGTTAGAACGCTTTGCTATACATCTACGTTTCGGGCATTTGCCCCTCCTCAGCCAACTAAATATATATAAAACATTATATGGATACAACCGAACACAAATAAAAACTAAAAAACGTACATAAAATTTTTTGTGAAACATACCTCACTTCGATACAAACACCAAATGCACAGTAGAACACCAGACGACTCATAGGTTTACATAACGTTTCCACCAAAAAAATTTTATGTACGTTTTTTAGTTTTTATTTGTGTTCGGTTGTATCCATATAATGTTTTATATATATTTAGTTGGCTGAGGAGGGGCAAATGCCCGAAACGTAGATGTATAGCAAAGCGTTCTAACTGAATAAAGATTGAAACTTGCCTAGTGTTGAAGAAAAGTCACTTCATTGTGCCAGTATACAAAACAATATTTAATTAATATTAAATACAAATATAAATCATAGGGTTACAGATAAGTCTAAAAATAATTTTGTTAAAACTGACACAAACTTCCATGAAAATGCACTGTCTGCCACCAAGTAAGCAGAATGTCTAAGATGAAAATGAATGTACAGTATTGAAATTTTTATAATAAAGAAAATTCACACTAATTTAAATTTTTCTTATAAATTACATTTAGAGTTATGTAGTTTGAGTGCTAAAGTTACTTAATTAGAAAGTTATTATATAATTTTGCCAAAATTAAATACTTAATTCAAATATCTTAAACTACAGTGGAACCCTGGTTAATAAACTTAATCCGTTCCGCGACTCCGTTCGTTAACTGAATTGTTAGTTAACCGAAGCAATTTTTTCCATAGAAATTAATGCAAATGCAATTAATCTGTTCTAGTCTCCAAAATTTTTGTCATTTTATTACAAATAAAATGACAAAACAGTAATTTTCTTTGATGAAAATGTAGGAAAATGTAGTATCTATCATTACAGCAACAAACATGTAAACTTTGTTTAATAAAATAGCACTGTACTGTACATACCTTCGTTTGTTGTGGTTAGTGGCAGAAAAGTGGAGATATTAGCTTAATGCTTAGAAGGGGAATCCCCTCCAAAAAAATAACGGGTAGCACTTCATCGAAAGATTCTTCGAGTTAAAGTCTCTTTTGGTAAAAAACCCACCAGTGGCTAAGTGGTCTTCGTACCTTGAACACAGGGAGTTCATTCGTGGGTCCGCACCTCGCTCAGATGGGCTAGCCACGTGGAATTTTCCGGGATTTCTCCACGTCTGTAATGTCTAAATAGGGGCCAGTTTCCCTTAAAAATACCTCCCAGAAGGCATTCCCCTAGTCAGATCGCCCAAGTGTTGCGTTGCCATAACTTAACAAAGAAACAAACTCTTTCCGTAAGGAACAAGAAATTGATCTAAAGTTGATTGTCTTACTCTTTTAATCAAAATTTTTCTCAAATGCGATAGCGCATTGTCGTTTTCTATTGCCACTACGACTTTTTCTTTCTTGAATGCCATATTGATTAAATATATAAATCACAAAACTGAAAAAAAGAAGTATAGCACAAACACTCGGAAAAGCAANTCTATATTTTATCTTTTGGCATAGAATTATTTATTAATTTTTTAAATTTAATTTTGTATCATTTTTCAATACATTTTTTCATTATCATTATTATTTTATTTCTAGATTTTTTAGTTCAATATTTCAAATATTTATCTAAAAAATACAGAATTTATATTTTGAATTTCTCTGTTTTATTCCTTAAAATGTTAACAAACTTCTAAAAAATTTTCTCAGAATTTTGATACATTGATATAAATATTTAATTATTTCTATTTATTAAAAACTATTTAATAAAATTAAAATAGTTTTGAAAATTTTTAGTTTCCAAATGGCTTTATTATTGAAAATCATTACTATTTTGGGATATAATAATAAATAATATTTAAATTTCTTTATTAAATTTTTATATCTTAAAACAAAAAATTGTAGCTATATGTGTGCATATATTATATAAATGTGTATAATATATAAATATATATGCTTTTTTTAAGATACAAGAGTTTCATATTAAATAAATCATACAATATAGAATAAAAAAGTGGAGTAGTATTTTCGAAATTATATGAATACGAACAAATTATTTTTCATAAAGTAATAATGTTAAAAATATATTTAATATAAATCATAGAAAAAATTGAGATAATGTGAAGTAACTTATATGAGAATCTCTTACTAGATTATTTCACATTTCCTCATTATTCTCTATGGTTTTTATTACTACAATTTTCAAAATATTTATGTAATGTATATTTTAAATATTACTATAAAATCTTAGAGAATAATAATGTAACGTGTATTATATGTATTTAATTATACGATATTTTTGAATAAAATTATAAATATCTTATTAAGAAACAGCATTTACAATTTACAAGTAATGTAATATTGTAATTTAAGTACTCATATTATTATATGATAAACTGAATGTAATATTTTAATATCTCATGTACAGTACTAGATTGTTACTCTATGTCTTAAGTACTTTAAACAGTTTGAAATGATTTTATTAATTTATATATTTATACTCTAGTTTTAATAAATATAATATTAAAAAAAGGAATTTTAATAGCTACTATTATAAATACTTATATAAATCTATGATATAATTATTGAATAATTTTCAAATAACTTTCTGATGTAAATTCTGTGTACTGTTCGTCGTCATGCTGTTTGTGTGTTAAAATATCACAAAATTACATATATCAAAAACGTTACAGTATTATATTTTCTATTATTTAAATGGTGAATATCTATATACTGTATAACTATGTAGAATATAGAACTATATACTCTATATTATAATATAGAATTATAAAAGAATAGTTCCTTTTTAAAAATTGATTTATTTATATTAAAACATTTAATTTCTCTCAATAACTGATGTTTTTATTGAATTTCTTTAACTTAGACATCTTATCTATCCAAGCTGATGCTGATATTTAATGAAAAATGTATTATTTTACCTGTCTTTCATTCTCGAAATATAAAAGATACAAATAATCAGAGACACACAAAGTAAAATTTAAAATTATTAAAAGTTTCACTTCTTTAAATAAGCAATTGTAATTTTTTTTTATTGATTTGTGTATGTAATGGTTTTAACATTATATGTATTTCTATATATAACTACCTTCTTCTATATGTAATTTCTATATATAATCACTATATTTCTATTCATAACTAATAAATAAATTGCACTGTAACTCATATATTTTAGCTTAGAAAATCTACCATAAATTATGCATCAACTTTCTCATTTTGATTGGATATTAAAACAATAATTAGATTATTTACATTGGTTACATAAATAATTATTGTGTAGTATAAAGATTCTAGTTTTAAACAAAGTTATTGACAAAATTATTAATTATAATATAGTTTTTGTTTGATAGTAATAATAAAATACACTATCTGTCCAAAAGTATCCAGACACCCTCCTAAAGAAGTGGATCTGGTAGGTGATGGTCTCTGATGTGTAACCGAAAGGTATAAAAGTGTTGGTAGTGGTTTGTCAGGTCATATTTATGTGTTTGTGAGACAATGAGTACGTCAAAGGAGCTTAGTGACTTTGATCATGGCATTATAGTGG